TAAGTCACTGCATCCAAGGGAGAAAAAGCCACAAATCATCTGACGCCTCTAGTGTCCAAGGGAAAGTACTGAGCCGGTAGGCACAGGCCGTCCTTCAGAGAATGTCTGGCCACGGAGCTCAGTGCCTCCCGGGAACGATTCCGCGGTCTGCCTTTTTATGACTACACTGGTATTACAAAAATCCTCCCTGTAACTTCCATCCCCAAGCTGTAACCTACACGTACCTGTCAGAGTGTGGCTGCCCAAGGTGATTATTCTGCTGCAGAATGAATTTAAAAACTATTAAATCAGCAGCCTCAGTTGGCATCCATTTTGAAACAAAACATTTTCCTGCGCCGATGCCCAAGGCATCTTGAAATGTTACCAATCAAAGACTTCATGCTCTTTTCTGTGCCTATTAAGGGGATGTGCAAAAGTAAAGACAAGGCGGGCTGTGGAGACGATGCTTCTAATCCACAGCAGTAAACACCTGTTTTCTACACGTCACGTGAGGAAGAAAGGCATCCACAAGGAGATCCACCACTGAATCTTCTATACCTGGGATTCTGGATAAAAAGAAAAATGATGGGGCATCTGGGTGGCTCAGTGGGTTAGGCCTCTCTGCCTTCAGCTCAGGTCATGATCTCAGGGTCCTGGGATCAAGCCCTGCATTGGGCTCTCTGCTCAGCACAGGGCCTGCTTCCCCCTCTCTCTCTGCCTGCCTCTCTGCCTACTTGTGATCTCTCTGTGTCTAATAAATAAATAAAATCTTAAAAAAAAAAAAAATGACCCACCAACAGGAAATAGACTGGGCAGCAGGAGAAAGGAGTAGTGAATAAAAACTCTGTGCTTTTGAGTTTTTCTAAAAGTTGAGATTTGAATTTCCAAGGAAGTGAATATCAGTAGATGAACTAGAATTAGTGTATTAGTAGATTAACTAGGACTAAAAAAACAAAAACAAAAAAAAACCACCAACCAGGCAAAAGTTTAAGGCTATGAATATGTGATGTGAGTGTCAAGACGGTTTAGGAAGCTCTCAAGGAGATGGCTACGGCACTATTTCCTGGCCGTAGGTAAAATAATGTACCAGATAAAGAGTTGAAGAAAATTGATAAAGGGCACATACAGAAAACTGACTGTGAAGTCAGTTCAGTGCTTGGGTACCACTAATTTAGAAATTATGGTGGACTGGGTATTTGCAGGGCCCATCTGCTATGCTAGAATTAGATTCTGGATAAATTAATTTCAGGAGGGCACCTGGGTGGCTCAGTTGGTTAAGCACCTGCCTTTGGCTCAGGTCATGATCTCAGGGTTCTGGGATCAAGTCCCGCATTGGGCTCCCTGCTCAGCAGGGAGCCTGCTTCTCCGTCTGCCCCTCCCCCAAAGCTTGTGTGCACGCACCCTCTCTCACTCAAATAAATAAATAAATAAATAAATAAATAAATAAAATCTTTTTAAAAATTAATCTGAGGAATACTTTTTCGTACACTGGCTAACTCCAGACAAAGAAACAAACACGAGGAAAACACGGCAGGGATGGCACACTGAAATTTAAGCGAAGAAGAGAGCGGGAGTTGCCGTGGAGGTGGGGTGAATACAGCAATGGGATGGGGCATCTGGACCCCCCCATTTTCGGCAGGGAGGGAAAACTCAACCAAAAATCAGGATTCCCAAAGGAAACAAATGTGGTGCTGGTTCTATAGCATCTTCCTGGCTCTGAGGACAAACCCACATATATTTCAATAAGACCTCAGGGGGCGCCTGGGTGGCTCAGTGGGTTAAGCCTCTGCCTTCGACTCAGGTCATGATCTTGGGGTCCTGGGATTGAGCCCCACATCGGGCTCTCCGCTCAGTGGGGAGCCTGCTTCCCTCTCTCTCTGCCTGCCTCTCTGCCTACCTGTGATCTCTGTCTGTCAAATAAATAAATAAAATCTTAAAAAAAAAGTAAGACCTCAGGATTCTGACATAAAATTATCAAACAAATATTAGCACATTATCAAAACTCACCATGGACACAAGGAAACAAGCCACAAACACAGATATACACCACCAAAGATTTCAGATATCAGCATTATCCAATACAGAATATGAAATAACTCTGTTTGGTGTTGCATACAGACATGAAAGATGGAGGGGGAAAAAATGAGCAAACAAAAAAGAGACCATTAAATATATTCAGGTAGGGGCACCTGGGTGGCTAAGTCATTGGGTGTCTGCCTGTGGCTCGGGTCGTAATCCTAGGGGCCTGGGATCGAGCTCCCTGCTCGGTGGGGAGTCTGGTTCTCCCTCCCCACTCCCTCTGCTTGTGTTCCCTCTCTCTCTGGGTCTCTCTCCATCAAATAAATAAAATCTTAAAAAAAAAAAAAAAAAAAAATATATATATATACATATATATGTATTCAGGCAGACCTGAGGCAGAAATCGAGCTTCTCAAAATGAAGAATTAGGGGCACCTTGGTGGTTCAGTCAGCTAAGTGCCGGACTTCGGCTCAGGTCATGATCCCAAGATCCTGGGATGGAGCCCCATGTCAGGCTCTCTGCTCAGCGGGGAGTCTGCTTCTCCCTCTGCCTCTATTTGTGCTCCCTCTCTCTCAAATAAATAAATTAAATATTTGTTAAAATACTAAGAAGCATTTTCATTGAAATTAAAAACTCAAAGGATGGGTTAAAAAAAATTCAACACTACTGAAGAGAAAATTATTGAACTAGAAGCTAAATCTTAAGAAATTACCTAGAATCAAACAGAAAAAAAGGACAGGGAAGAAAATACCAATTACAAATTAAAAGACATGGAGAAGTAAAAAAGAAGCTCTAACATCCGCTTATCAAAACCAGAAGGAGCAAAGAGAGCGAGTGGGAGAGTGACAGTGTTCAGAGCACCAATGGCTGGGAAATTTTGAGAGCCAATGAATGGCATGAATCTACAGATACATGACACATAACAAATACAAACACATAACAATACAGGATAAAACGCAAAAAGCCACACACAGATCTCAAAATAAACCAAGTCATTTACCAAAGAATGACCCAAAAAAGACCTAACAGTGGATTTCCCAAGAGCAAGAATGAAAGCCACAGGACAATGAGTGGTATGTCCACAATGCCAGCAGGCAGCGATGGTCTGCTAAGAACCGAGACAGCAACACGAACACACGTTCTCATAAACCAACATCAAGAGAAACTACTGCCCGGTGATTCTGAGGGAAGACAATTCTGAAGGAGGCAGATGAAAGGTACAGGACGGAAGAAGGGAAAAGACACAAGATATGGTGAACGTATGAAGTTAAACATACCATCTCTAAAGGGTGACCATAGTCTGATGTGTCCGGCAAAACACGGAACTGAAATAGAGAAAGGAAGGCATGAGAACAGAGACACTCTTCACTAGGTGTCCTACAAGTTTCGTACTGTTCTCAGAGGGGATGGTAAGACCTTAGGTATGGACTGAGTTCAAAACTATGAAGCAGGCACAGTGTACTTTCACGGCAATCACAGAAGAACAGAAACAGAATGCATTCCAAACCCATGGAGAAAAAAAACACTGACTGAGAACACAAATCAAAAACTTCAGCAGTCAGTTAAAAAAAAAAAAAAAAAAAAGATTAGCAAAGAAAATGAAGCAAACACATATAGTTAAGAGTATATTAGACTATATTTCAAAAACCAAACCCCCCAACAAAAAAAGAAACAAAGAAAAGCACATTAGCCATATAATAAAAGACTGCAAGTTCTGTCTACATTAGAATCACAACTCTGTTCTCCAAAGAACACTAAAAAGAAACATGCTCAATCCCACCATTAATCAAGAAAATGCAAATTAAAACCAGAGTGGTATACTATCTTATAGCCATTAGACTGGCAACAAAATACCCAATTTTGGAAGGAAGTGGAGCAACAGATAAAAGGTGATGCATTTTTTTTTTTAAGATTTTATTCATTTCTTTTTGTGAGAAAGAGTGAGCGAGCACAAGCCGGACGGGGGAGGCAGAAGAAGAGGGAGAAGCAGACCACCCGATGGGCAGAACCCTGGGAGCCTGATACAGGGCTCAATCCCAGGACCCTGAAATCATGGCTCGAGCCCAAGGCAGACACTAGACTGAGCCACCCAGGTGCCTGTGATAGATTTTTATAAGAAGGATTTTATTAAACTAGAAAAAATAATTTACTACCATCACATGCAACAGGTGAGTCTGAACAACACAACTGAGCACCCTGGGGAAGGCCACACATAGTCGAGCGCTCTTATCCAGCCGGAAAAGAAGCAACAGAAGCAATATCCCGTCTGTGTGTGTACACAGAGATGGGAACCGTGTGCCAGGATGGAAAGCAGCCACCATCACGAAGAACGCAGTCCCACGCAGGGGATTTTCACTCTTGGTCAAGACTGTTTCTCAACAGGAGCAACGGCGAGCTGACCTGGTTCTGGAGACACTGCAGGCCGGCATGTCCAGCGACACAGCCTCAGGCGGTCCCAGTGTGGAGCCACAATCTTCCCGGAGAGAGAGCCTCCATCACAATCGATTCCACAGTCAAGGAAAAGTCCTGGCCCCAAATGGCTCCCAAACACCCTGGGCCCTGGAACCTTCCCTCATAATTTCTTCTACAAACAATTAAATTACTATGTGGAGTTTTCAATAAAGGTGAAAAATGGTGTAGACTCAAGCAGAGATTTTCCTGAATCCGGGTGGCTCTTTTTCCTGATAAATGTGCTTGTTAATTATGTGGCTTGAGAGCTCACGACGTCCTTCCCGTCCTCTCCAGCGACTCTGGCAGAAGCTACCCCTTGGGCCCTTCATTTTCCACATGTTTATACTCTGGCTGGTGTTGCCTTCCCAGTCCAATCCTGTCTCCTTCCCTCCCCAAACCAGACTTGGCCTTCCCTGGCTGATGTGGAGCAGGGGGGCCCCCTCCATGCATCAGGGCCTCACATACACTCTCAAAACAAAGCAGGAGTGACTCTGGAGAACTTCAGACCCATGACAGGTTTGCAAATGGATAAAAGGCAGAGTGTGACTTACGTGTTGTCTTTCGTACGCCCTCTGCTACGCTCCTACTTCACTGCCCTCGAAATTCAGAAGATCTACCGTTCTTCGGTCACTAGGGCTTTGCCTGGAATAGTAAGGGCAGGAAATGAGAAAGGAGGCAACCGGAAGGAACCCCAGGGTCCACTGGGGAAAGAAACTCTCTTGCACAATCATTCTTGACATTTAAAAGGGAAAATTTCCACCATCCTCCGATCTAAGCCATTTTTCATCCTTAACTAAAAGTATTAATAGTAATTTAATGTTTTTAGAAGAAAAACTTTGAAATTTCTTCATTATTTACAAAGACCTTTCACATGCTTTTTTTTTTTTTAATTTGAGCCATAAGACTTTGGAAATTTTTGAGTAGGAAAGTATTATTTTAAAGGCAGCAGCTGACGTTCCCAAAGGTTAGAGAACTTTCCCACAACTGCTCCTCCAGCGACTATCAGAGAGGAAAAGAACCACATCCGTGACTCTCGTTCCAACCTTATTCCACAACACCAAATCCTAACAGGATGGTTTCAGGCTGAGAAGCTGTACTATCATTGAATGTACTTCCTCACCCAACACATGGAGAAAGGGCTTTGCCTGTGGAGTGACAGAGCAACGGTCATAGGATTAAATGTTCATTAACCACAGACAACTCAGAAGGTAGAACACCCACACCACAATAGTTAAGAAATTCACAGATCTCATCCACACACCCTCCTTTTCTCTTTAAGTCACAGTTATGGTTTGTTTTTTTTTTAACATTGCATCAATTATATTCTCACCAGAAAATGTCACCTTATTGTACTTATGGCAATTGTTGCAGACTCTTTAAGAGGTTATGGAAAGCCTTCTTCCTATAAAATGCAGATGATATTCCTGTGACTCCACAGCAAAATTACTTTATTAATCTAACCAGTCCTAAGTGACTCTGCTTCAGACTCAGTGCTAGATGACAGATGCCAAGTTACGAGAGGCCCACCCTTCAACGGATGGGGTGAGGGGGTAGTTCTGGCAAAGGTGAGGCTCCTCTTTCTTGTAGTCTGGAAACACAGTTCCTGAGACAGGACCAAAGCACCAGCCGCCTTTTATTTCTTCAGGCTCTGCTCTTACTGTATACACCACGCTGGCCCCCCAGGGTCTGGACCCCAGCCGGGAAGGTGCTCACACAGAGACCGGGGCCCATGGGGGTCCTCCCTCCTCTCAGGAACCGTGGTGCTGGCTGCCGCGGTCCAGTTCCCCCACAGGAGGGCAAGCCCAGCACCCGCGGCTCGTCGTTCCCTCTTCCTGCTCTCAGCACTCAGTGATGCTTCCGGGACACGGGCTGAAGGATCAAGACACAAAGCATACAGTGAAGGCTCTTCATTTAAGTGTTTCTAACAGCGTTTCTTGGAAGTGTACGTGTGTGCTTTCCCTGCAACAACTCCCTCCGTGGCGGGCGACAGGATCCCTAAGCAGTCCAGCAAATTCTGAACAAAGTGCCGGGGAAATGGCTCCATCCCTTCCAGGAGGCTGACCGTCCCTTAGGATGCCAACCGGCTGTCACTCCGACATGAACTACACTGACGTCCAGGGGCCTAACAAGCCACGACAGACTGCCCGAGACAGAAAACTTAGTTGTTAATTCTTCGTTCTTCTTCTCTAGGTGCATGTACTTAGGGGTGAGGAAAGAGTCCTCTCAACAGATACCATTCCTTCCTACTTCTAACCGCTGATGAGAAAATAAGGAGAAAGTCAAAAAAGGAGTTCCTGGGTAGCTCAGTCTGTTAGGCATCTGCCTTCGGCTCAGGTCATGATCCCGGGGTCCTGGGATCGAGCCCCGCATCAGGCTCCTTGCTAGGCAGGGAGTCTGCTTCTCCCTCTCTCTCTGTCCCTCCCCTGCTTGTGCTCTTTCTCTCTATGTCTCTCTCAAATAAATAAATAAAACCTTAAAAAAAAAAAAAGGTCAAAAGAAAAAGAAACAACCCTGCAACCCCAGACACAAAGCTAATCAAAAGGAAACAATCAAAATTGTCAGACAAGAGTGGTATTTTCATGCCATAGTGGAGATGAGAGGAAACTGGAGAATGGGCCTTCCCCAGCACAGGCCAGGAGGTCCGTGCCCACGGCGTACACATGTGCACACTGCACGCCACACTGTGCCCGGTGGGAATGTGGCCCGCCCTTTCTACTTCTTAAGCAGACTTTCTCCTTACCAGAAATCCACACCGCAGCCTGCCCAATCCAGTTTCTCAAAAGGAACATGCCCACCAAAGCACAGCGGGTCCACCGGGCGCCCTCAGGCTCCACCTCGGGCAGTGGAGAATGTGCAGGTGAACCCCGCTACACTGTCAACACAGCGTGCACCTGTCCTCTTGCCCCCGCCCTGTCCAGACAGACCTGTCCCATCAGGGCTCTCAGATGGTAATTCCACCTCCTCAGGTAAGCAGGTGCCTGGCTCCTGATCAACCCAACCATCTGCCCCCCAACTTCCCGGGAGCCTCCACAATCTGCCCGCCACCCAGCTTTGCATCCCAGGTCCCAAGCCTATCCACCCATCACAGTGAACGCCCAAAAGCCGTCACCCTTCACGAGACACCCTGCCCTTCCTTTCTTCTCTTGACTAACTCATGGAGGCTTGATGACCTTGGGGAATTTTTCTTGATCCCCATTCAAAGCTGGGTGAGTGCCTCAAACTTCCTATTCTCACAGCGCCTTTGCTTTTTTTTTTTTTTTTTTTTGAGATTTTATTTATTTATTTGAGAGAGACAGAGAGACAGCATAAGCTGGGGGAGCAGCAGAGGAAGAGGGAGAAGCAGACTCCCCGCTGAGCAGAGAGCTCGATGTGGGGCTCGATCCCAGGACATCGGGACTGTGACCTGAACCAAAGGCAGACACTTAACCACCTGAGCCACCCAGGCGCCCCCTGTGCTCACTTTTAAATAAACAGCCAACATTCACTACGCACTGATGGTGTGTGCTAAGCTATAGGCATTTACCATGCGTTACCTCACCCAGGGCCCACACTAGGTCTGCAAGGGGGAGGTGGGGAAGGGTGTTCCTCCTTAGGACCAAAAATGGTGTGCTGGTTCAAAGATTAAGAGGACCTCTCAAAGGGAAGACTCTGGAATTCTGTATAACTGAATCAAGCCCCTTCTCAAGAAGCTCTTACACTGTATAACCAACAGGCTCCTCCCCACGGGGAACACATCAGCTCCAACACAGATCAGAGGCAGAATCCCTCCGCGGTACTCCATCAGGCACCCTCCGCAACATTAAGCCAATGTCTTACTGGCCACAGACCGTGGACCTGAGCTGAGGGAGGAGCGGGGACAGGAATGCCAAGGACAGCTGCCAGGCCAAGGCCCCGTGGACAGTCTCGTGAAGGGTGCGTCAGGGAGGACAGGATCTCAGGGTCTCAGGACAGCTCATCACTCATACAGGCCCCCTTCTTCCCGCTGCAGACCCTGACCGGGCCATCAGAAATGCCGGCCAGGCTCAAAGCCATCTCCGGGCTCTACCCTCCTGGGGAAAATGTTTTTTAAAAAAGGAAAAGGCTCAAAAGGAGATGTGCAGAGCTCTCTGAAACCTAACTCAAAGTGTGAAACTCACAGAGCACGTTTAACCGAGGGAAAACAAAGCAAGAGGCACCACTATGGGACACCATGTCAAGCACCCCCACTCCAGGAGCATCCAGCAGCACTTCTCCATTCCCACCGAAGGTAGAACAGAGCACAGAGTTTCAACCTATGAGACTTTGTGAACATCATTGTGAACATCTTCCCCAAAGCAAGAAATTTTAACTCAGGAGTATGGCCGTCTGTGTCCCCATGACATGACCGCTCTTCGATTCCCAACATGCAGGGCTCCCATTCCAGTGCTCAAGCAGTGCTGGGGCTGGGGTCCAGGATTCCGCCTCACGGAAGCTGCAATGTACGTACAGACAACACACTGTTCACAGAGGGCTCCACCGTAAGCCACAAGTCACCCGGGGGGACCTATAGGCAGGCCCAGCTGGGCGGCAGGCTCGGCTACAGGATGCACACCCTGCCTCCCGTGACTCAAAGTCCCATGTCCTCCTTACAGGCATTAGATTAAAATGCACGAAAACTTACTATCTGTAAAATGGGACAATACTGGCCTTGTGAGGCTCCTGGAAGGATTCAGTAAGTTAATCCTCCAACTTCTAGCCTGTGCTTATCAAAAAGCAAGCCCTCTGATTCTATTCAAGCTGAGATCGCCTATTTTCAATGAGTCCAATTTAACTCCAAAATGAGAAAGAACGGGTCCCGTGTGCACCCATTCCGCCCATCCAGATCCATCCACTCCCTCACAGACTTCCACAGAGCGTCTGTCACACACAGAGCTCTGGGGCAGGCCCCGCGTGGGAGGTGAAGACAGGAGCAACAGAGCCCACAGTGGTGCGCAAAGACCACCACCAGGGCATCATCAGCCACAAATACGATGTGCCAGGCCCCATTCTAAGCACCGTGTGTGTGCATGTGTGTGCATGTTTGCTCTCAAGCCACACAATGACCCTTCAAGGTAAGCAGTATTTATTATTCCAGATGAGAAACTGAGGCAGAGAGAACAAGGCACTTGTTCTAGGTTACACAGCTTCTAACAGGCAGAGTTGGGATTCGTCCCACCGCTGCGTGACTGCAGAGTCCTGTGCTCTTAACCACCCGACACACTGCCTCCCCTGACACCAGACCACTAAGAACTAGAGCAGGGACAGGCTAGGAAACAGGTCCAGCAGGAACAGACAGCACAATATCACAGATGGCCCGTACTGTCTTTACCCGTAACAGAGAGCACGCGCCCTTTAACTAGAGAACGACACGTTCAGGCACACGGTCCCAGCCCAGACCGAACATCGTGCACAGCACCTCAGTGCACACGCACTGAAGGGAAAGGGGTGGGCTAGGCACCTGGGTGTCCATCACTAGTCCTCCCGTCAACAACCTGCTTGACCTCTCTGCGGCACTATCCTCCCTATAGGGATTTAATGAGATGCCCCACGTACAGAGCTTACTTCCAGTACCTGCCACTGAAGACTATCCAAGTCAATCAATCAATCAGTCAATCCATCAAACTGCAAACTGCATCGAGACTCAG